AAATTGGCCTAGAAGTGTAGGGAAGGGAAAGATGCTGGGTGCATAAAAATGCATAGAAGCCTTCCTTCATATAAGAGATTGGAGGCATATGCTACTGAATTTTGAACATCTTGAAGATCACCAAGTGCTGATACATGATTTTGTATCCCATTAGTATGCAACTTGCTTCTATGTGTGTAGACGGAGGAGATTTCTGAAAACTCCCTTGTGGTTTGGATCATTTTCTATTGGTGCCCTCGGGATTTGTTTGATCATATAGCCTCCTAGTGGTTTTGGCTAGTTGCATTATCACAATTGTTTTGGGGATGATCACAGGAAAGTCTTTTTGCATGAGCCATATGCGGAGCGTTGATAACATGATACAGTGCCTTAAACCCAAAAGCTTAAAACATGGTTAATGATTCCATCCATATATGTCCACTTTCTTGGCTTTTAACTTGTATAGTATTTGAACTTAAATACATAATCAGAAGAAAAACAGGCTCAATTCTGCTATTTATTACCAAAGTTTGTCCAAGTTTGCTTTGAATAGATATTTCAAAGGAAATGAACTGAACTTTGACAAATTTGGTGATGTAAACTTAAAGTGTCTTTTATATTTAGAATCGTAATATAAATGTTTTCTCTAGAGATAGCCTACTTATTAAGTTCATTGTGTTATACTGCCTTCCTATTATTGAAATTTTGGTGTAGGCAAAGATCGAATTGCACATCTGAAGTGGTTTTCAGCGGCCAGAGATGTAGCACATGTTTAGAAAGTAAAGCTTTGACGTTGTTTGAAATTTTTTTGAGTGGAATGAGAGGAAGGGTATAAAATATGATGAGATGGAAGTAGATTTTTTATTTGATGCTGGAAAAGGAACTTCCAATGCAAGTTCGAGAGTTTGGCTACAATTTTTATGCATTTTTCTAGCTAAAATTTCTTATAAATCAATTTTTCACATTTCAATATCATCATGTTAAGATAGTTAGGATCCCAGGATGTTTGCACACTGATTTTGTGATGTTGCCCTGAATGGCCTGTGCACCATGCATTTCGTGCAGCTGATACTGCAGCGTATCGAGAATTGATTTCCTCATTCTTCATTTCTAATTGTTGTTCTGTCCACTGTGATGAACATGGCCTCCATGTCATTAGTTCTCAAGAATTCCAAGTTTCCCTAACCCACCTTATGCCTTGGAGTTTTCAGAAAAACCTTGTATTAATTTTGTAATGGCCCCGTTCAAAAAAAATCTTCTAGCTTCACCATGCCTTTAACTGCTGTATATACAAGAACTCATCTCATTTGGGAAGCAAATATGTTCATTCCAATGATATTTCCATTGTCAACAGTTAATCCTGACTCTTCTGCTTTCAGGTTGAGGTTGAAAGGATAAGGGGCCAGGCTCAAGATAGGCTTATGAACAAATTAGCAGCAGCAAGGCACAAGGCTGAGGAGAAGCGAGCAGCTGCAGAAGCCAAGAGAAACAGGCGAGCTGCAAAAACTGAGCAACAAGCAGAGTATATTCGTAGAACTGGTCGTGTGCCTTCCTCATTTACCTTTTGTGGTTGCTGTGGTTGAAGCCTGAGACACATTACTAAGTGAGCTAGTCTTCACTTTTCAGATTTTTTGTTCTAACCCACCATTTACTTTATCTTGCATCCTTTGTGCACAGGAGCCGGTTCTTGAAAACTAAGATGTTTTTCTACTTTGTAAGAATTGTAATGAACTAGTAAATCTAAATTGAAGTGTTCCCTGATTGCTCTACTTACGTGCCTCTCTCTCTCTCTCTCTCTCTCTCTCTCTCGTCAAGTACTCTGATATCCTCAATGACAGGTATATGATTCGACAAAATTTTCTATTACCAACTGCAAGGGTATTGTATCAGGGGCTTTGGGGCTGCCATTAAAGTTTTTGAGCTGACCTTCTGAGCACTAACCTATAACTAGTTGGTTTATTTCATTAATTTCCTGCCTGCAGAGTTACGGAAGCACTCCTCTCCATTTAAAATTTAATCACCTCATAAAGTTGTCTTGGATTGGTTAGAGGAGTTCAGTGCATGGGATGATTACTTCTCATCTTTAGCATATGGTCCTTTACAATATATTTTTCACACTTGCAGCAACAGAGTCACCTACCTGGTTTCTAGTTCTAGTCACATCTTCACCGTGGGATGAATACATAAAATCTTCACCATGCGCTGATTGAATTGAGAACATTCCTTAATTTTCAATCACCGTGATGGTAAAAAAAAAAAAGGTTACACGCACCGAATTTCTTTCTTTCTTTTTTTCTCTCCCGGTTTTCCCTTGGTGTTGTTGAAAAACAGCACAAACCAGAGGATCAGATAATGGGGGAGAATGGAGATATATAGTTGATTGCCATGGCAAATGGGCACGCATTCACACGCCTCTGAAAATTATGACGGAAAGTAATCCCCTAACACCCCCGATTTTTATTTTTTTTTCAAATTCTCATCCATGAACTACAAGGTGCCTAGCTTAGATTTCATCCAGAAATCACCAAATAGCATAAAAAGGTCGGGGATTGATTCCTTAAAGAAGTTTTATCGTAACATTAGTAGTAGTTGATTTCTTAGTATTTTTCTTATGAATATCTTTCAACTTGCTTGTTATTAACAGAAAAATGAATGGAATAAAATAAAATTCAACAAGTATCTCAGTTGACGAGTCCCAACCAACACAACCGCCCTTTGAAGAACAAGAGAATGCCTACTTTGAAGAAGAAGAAAGCCTCTGAACTTTCAATATTGTGTGGTGTCCCTGTTTGCGTCATCTCTTCCGGGCCGGACGGAATTTTTGATACCTGACCAGAAAACCGAAGTGAGGTTAAAACTCTAGTCTCCAAGTACAACAAGCTGTTGTCTCAACCTCAAGCAACAAGTGAAAGAAGATCAATAAACCAAATCTTGTAGCCTACAACAGAAAGATTGTTGATCCGGAGAAGAAGATTAATGTGGAAACTTCAAATGTGTCGTTGAGGCAGATCTGAGTTTTTTGGGGATCTGAATTGAAGTATATGAATGACAAGATTGAAGGGTTAAGAAAAAAAAAGAAAAGGGCAGAGAAAGTGAAACAGAAAACTGAGTCCATTGTCCAGTCTTCCTCTCACTGCATGAGTACTGACCAGTGTGTGAATCTGTGTGATGCTTTTGATGATTATAATTATATTATGGCACGGGGGTTTGATAATGAGAACCAATCATTGACTATGGTTTTTTTCTTGTCATGCTCTGTTGAGACTAGTAATCTTCTAAACATAAGTAGCTCCCTGACAAATTGATATTAGAGGTGGAAGGTTCTGTTTGGAACGAGAGGTGATTGTGGTTAGGCTCCCATGGCTCTATTTGCTTCCCCATGGTTGAGCAAAAGAAGTAAGCTCCAGTCTTTGGATATCGTAATGAGATTCCTACTTTACCTGAAGGGGGAGTGGTGTTCGAATGGGCCACTCTCATATGTGAGGAAGATTTGTTGGGTGCAAATGTGAATGGTAGCTATTCCACGTGAAAAAAAGAAAATAAAAAAAGTGTTTATGTATACTCATAACCCAAAAGTCAAGGCTTTTAGGTCAGAGAAGACATCAATCCTTGCATACAAGTTCTCCCAGACACTGGCAGCTCCGCATCAACAATTTTCTGATTTACACCGATTTCAGAACCCATTCTGCACTGCTACTTGCCTTTGCCTCAACCTCTGCCTCCTCTGCCCTTGGTTTTATAGTTGTGAGGAGCATGTGGATAATCCGACCTTTGTACCACCAAGACACCTGGGTTTTCTGCCCGGCAAAATTAGTTCATCATTTTTCAAGCCCAGAGGCACCAAACAGTAGCTTTCCCCCCCGCTAATTCTGTTCTTGTAAGAAAGAACCCGAGGCTTTTCAAGATTTGAGGCTAATTTTGTTTTCAAGTTCTTCATAATTGTTATCATTTGATCACTTAATGTCAATGGCTAATCTTGGATTTTGAAACAACATTAACATGGAAAAAAAAAGGAGTGTTTATATACAAGATGCAGTCATGATCCAATAGATTATCACAAACATAGGCGGCCCCGTATCAACAATTTTTTGAGTCTCACCGATTTCAAAACCCATTTTGAATTACCGGCCCGCCTTTGCCTCTACCTCTCTTCCCTGCCCTTGGTCTTGGTTGTTTCCATGTTCCTTGCTACCCTCTGGATAATCAGATCTTCGGCACAAACACTTGTTTTTTTTCTCGGCCCAACAAAATCAGATCATTACTTTTCAAGGCCGGGGCACCATTGAGCAGCCTTTTCACCTACTAATTAAGTACTTGTCAGAATGAACCCGTCTTTTCAAGATTTGATTATTGAGTTTTATATAAAACGATTTACAAATATTACAAAAATAGTATTGTTTATTTTAAATTAATATTTATCAAAATAATCATCACATTAAAAATAATATTTTTTTTTTATATAATTTTTGATGGAAAACAATCAAATTTTTTATTTTTTATTTTAAATTAATATTTTTAGAATAGTTTGATATGATGATATCAAAAATAATTTTTAAAATATTAAAATATATTGTTTTTATATATTTATAAATAAAAAATATTTTAAAACACAACTATGGTACACTTAAAATGCTATAATTAAAAGGGGTTATGCACAAAACACCCTCTAAAACCGTGTTCTTACCATGATCCCGAAATGCTTGCTCCCAACAATTCTATTCTGATGCTACAATCATCGGGTTATTACATCTTATAGCTTTCTTATATATATATATATAAGTCCAACGCATGGATCCAGTCTGGAGACACGATGCAAATCAAAGCTTGGAATTAAATTAATTCTTTTAAAAAAACTGAGCTAAAATAAAAAAATAAATGATATGAAGATATAATTCTTCTTGTTATTTTCCTTGTAACCAAGAAATCAACAGGAACAAGAATACCTTCAGATGAATCTAACTTATCCTTTTTTCCGGGACCTCTGCCTCCTGTGAAGTCTTCTGATACACAGAGAGGAAGACCACAGGCTCTGCTGTGGCTGTACTTGTCAATGGAAGGAAGGGTAGGCTTCATCATCAGTAACAGTGAAAAGAGCGCCCAGAGCAGACCCAGCTGGGCCACGTATGAAGTCAAGTCTGCGAAGAAGACCTAGAGCAACATGATAGGGCCACGTGTGCATCAAGTCATAAAAGTACCCACCCAGAGGCAATAGGGAATCCAGTCTCTTGATAAGAAATACACGGATCACAGATATTCAAAACACAACCCTTTGAGCATTATCCGTTGGGCGACGACCAGTCAGTCTATCTCTTGTTTGATCAGATTACTGTTGTCTATCTTTTGTTTGCTTTAATCTTATGAATACTGTATTGCTAGTTTATAATCTGCCCTTCACTGGAGTTTAAACTTTTTACCTGTTTATTTACCTAATTTAAATTTAAAATTAAATCATATAAGAATTATTTTGATATAATTTAATTCACTTGATTAATTCAAAGATAATTTAAATTATTATTAAAAAAATTAAAATTAAAATTAAACAAGTAAAATGGTTCCTATTTTTTATTTATTGAAGAAGTGAAGTACCGTATAAACTAAAAAAGTATGTTTTTCAATACCCGAAGATGATTGTTCTTTCTCTCTCGATAAATTGTTCGTTCATTGTGCATTTTTATATCTTTTACATTCTGGTCCCTAAAAATTGTAGTTTTTTTTCAAATAAGTCATGTTACTTCTTTTTTTCCAATTATATCCTTTGAAGTTTTGTTCACTCAAGTTATTCTGCTCTTACTCCTGTTTTGACACTAATGGACAATTAATTTTATGAACTACAATCCTAGCTGTATTTTAAAAACCAAATTAAAATATTGAGGATCAAAATTATCATAAGGGAAGAAATGAGTGCCATTTTCCACAAAAATGGTGTGTAAAAGTTCCACCTGGCCCCTCAAATTCTAATTTTCCTCCTTTGTCCTTGTTCTTTCCTGTTATTTCATTTTATTCATAAATTTTATTTCCTTTTACGTTTTAATTTTTGGATTTGAGAGATAATTGAGAAGGTCATCGAAAAAATAAAAAAATAAAAACTCTTGGATGACTGGATTTTGACCATTAATAACTTTAATCATGGTGTTAGTTTCATTTTGAAGAGACGAACTTGATGAAGAAGGCTTCCCCTTTGATAACGCTAGAAAAAATAGATGTGGGCTCGGAAAGTTATTTTTCCAGTTTGAATTTGAATTTTGAGGCATATTTGAAGACTTTATGGAATTGTTATTGAGTTTTTTTTTAATGATATTTATGTATTTTTGATGAAAATTTAAGTCCATTTCCGACTAATTTTGGCAGCCATGACGTAAACTTTTTTTTTTTTTTGATAAAATTGTTTCTAATTAGAGCTGTTACAATAAAATTAAAAAAATCATCCAATTGTTTTTTATTTAAAAACCATTATTTTAGTAGAAAAGATATTTTTTTTTTATCAGGAAAAAATAACAAGGAAGGAGGGTATTGGCTAATATTTTTTGTTCTCATTTCTTTACACTATTCAGATTCTCATTGAATTTTATTTTAACCGGTCCAGGTTTTTATTTGTAAAATCAGGCTACTTATAAAATATACGTGTTTTATCAAAATAAAAGGAAATGTATTTATAAAATAAAATAAATTTTAGACTAAAGAAAACACCTTCTTATATATAAATTAAATCATTTGGGTTTTTAAAAACATTTACTTTGACTATCACAAAATTCAGACTAAAAAAAATATTTTTTTTATTTATAATTTAAATTGTTTGAATTCTTAAAAATATTTATTCTAACAAGATTTAATAAAAATAAATTTCAAATATTATTATACAATAGCGCACGAGTATCAATTTAGTGTATTTTTAGTACCACTTAAGTATTATAGCTTTTGTTTTTATATTTTAAAAATATTTTTTAAAATATTTGAAAATTTTTTATATTTTTATTTATATAAAATTAATATATTTTTAATATTTTTAAATTATTTCAATATACTAATTTCAAAAATAATTTTTGAAAAATAAAAAAACTATTAATATATTTTTTAACATAAAAAATTATTTAAAAAGTAATCATAACTATATTCTCATATAAACTTTAATTGAAATCATAACTTTTTTTGAACTGATATAAACATATATCTTTATATTTTCTTGATAAATTTAAAAAAATTTAATATATTTTTTTTAAAATTAAATCGAGATTGGAATATAATAAATAATAATTCCGAGTAAACCTCTTTAATCACCCCATCAACCCAACACGTTAAAATAAGATTTATTTATAATCTTAAAATCTAAATTTATGTTGTGTTTTCCGTACCATGCATAAAAAAGGTGCTTGACAACTTTTACATCTCTCACTCATATTAGCTCAAGAAATAAAAAAAGAAAAACAAAGAGTCATAGGCAAAGCTGGTTTATCAAGACGAGCGGCCTCAAGAATGTTTTTGAAGAAATTTTTAATTTTTTAATATATTAATATTATAAATAATTTTTTAAAAATAATAATAAAAATATTATTCTAATATATTTTTCAATAAAAAATAATCCGAAAAAAACCACTCGTACTACCGCGCACGCTCTCTTTTCCTTAAATATCCCTCTCACTCTCAAGCTCTACCCTTTTTATCTGTTTTTGGATCGTGGCGGCTCTTCTCCTATCATCCACTTCCTCCTCCTCTTCTTTTACTTCTAATAATAAATAATAATTATAATCCCCGTTGCAAATAAGGAGTCTTGGAGGATCGCCTCTCTCTCAGTCTCTATTTATTTTGATTTATTATTACTCGCGCGATCCACTCCCAACTAGAGCTGCTGCATACTGGTTTATCGATCTGTAAGCACTTCGCTTGATTCTGAAAAAAAACAACAATAATAACAAAGAAGAAGAGAACCGCCATGGTTGCGGCCACCCAACCACAACCACCACCACCTACACCTACTGCGTCCACAAGAACATCCGCCGAAGAAGAAGCCTTGAAAAGGAATACTGATTGTGTTTACTTTCTTGCTTCTCCTTTGACCTGCAAAAAGGTTCGCTTTTCTCCTTTTCGTTTCTTTTTTCATTTCTCAATTAATGGTTGCCGATTTTTAGGGATCTAATTATAAGGGTTACAGATTCACGATTCACTTTTCTTTATATGTGTATTAATTAGGTTTTTTTCCTGGGGGTTTTGAGGAAAAACCCTAATCAATTTCTTGAATATAATTGCCAATCTAGATCTTATCCTCTTAAGATCATCACATGATTTGTCTTGTGTTCTTAAATCTATCTGTGCAATGTTCAATTGAGTCTATAATTATGATTTCCCTTGTGGGTTTTAGATTATTGTTTCTTACCCATCCGTTTTAGGTAATTCATATGTTGTCTGTTGGCTGGGCTTCCGCCAAGATTGCTAATTTCTGAAAAACCTCTTGTGATGGTGTTTTCGGTAACTGGTTTGCTTTTATAGTCTTTAAAATGAATTCATTTTTCAGACTTACTTCAAGAATAGTAATATTTGCCAGGCTTTAAGTAAAGTAGGCAAGTTGTGCTTTACGTTTCTTCCCTTAACTATGTCATTCTGTCAAATCAATATCATGTGTACGATGTACCAAGTGTTCTTTATGTTTTATGATCTCGCTGTGGTTTTTATAAAGAGTGGATTCTTGATTTTTTTTACCTTCTTTAGCAGTTGAAATTTTTTATTAACTGAAGCCCCTTGTTCTTTGTTTCACCAGGGAAGTGAGTGTGAGTATCGCCACAGTGAATATGCCAGGGTTAATCCTAGGGATTGCTATTTTTGGTTGAATGGCAATTGCATGAATCCCAAGTGTGGGTTTCGTCACCCAGTAAGTCTTTTTTTTCTCGCCTTGTTTTGATGTTATGCACTTCTTGCTTGATTTGTTTCATTACTCTTTTAGCTGGTGGGAAGCTTTTTAATTTTGCAAGCCTGTCTTGATTAAATTGTTTTATCCGGTTTGTTAGTATCTAACATCTATTCTCTCATTTCAGCCCCTTGATGGCTTGTTTGGCAACCAAACAACAGCCTCTGCTGGACCTTCCTTGCCGCCATCACATGCTGCTGCTGCAGCTGCCACACATGCTCCTCACAATTCAGGCAAACAAGGAGTCCTGTGCATTTTCTTTCAGCAGGGAATGTGCTTGAAAGGTGACAAATGTGCTTTCTCCCATGGACCAAATCATGCCAGTAATAGAGTTTCTCAAACAATGGCACTTACACCTGGTACTGAGGCCCACCCTCCAAAAAAGGCTTTTGGTGGCCTTCAAAAGTGTACTCAAGAGCAGAAGCTTCCACAAGTGAATTTATCAAAGGCTGTTGAAGCACCCACTGTAGCCAAACCTGTGTCAAAAGCTGAAATTGCTTCAGCAAGGAACAGTGCTGGTGTTGCAAGGAATGTAGTGCCACCCAAAAGCACGGATGATGAAGTTCCCAGATATAAAGCATCAAATCTTCCTCCTGAGGTCAATGGAAATTCAAGTCGTTCCAATCAGTTGCATCTGTCACGGGTAGCAGATGATCATGTTAACCATAATGGAAAGGATGCTGATGAGTATTTGAGGGAGTCCTCTCCTGGTTTTGATGTTCTTGTGGATGATGAGTTGAGGGATTCTGATTATTACCACGGTGAAGATCAATTTGGAAGAACAATAGTTCATGAAGGTAGGAACTTGAACTCTGTTGATGAATATGGCAGGGGCCATCCTGCTGATTATGGCTCCTTGCCTGATGACCAAGAAAGGTATGGGGATCCACGAGGTTATGATCCCT